TTCTCCAAACAACTTGCCCACTCCAATTGATGTATAGTATTTGTGAAAAAATACTTTGTTAATCTATATAAGTGAACATTTGGTAAAATGAACAAATTAGTATAGGCTACAAACCTTTTTCCAATGTAATTACATACCCACATACAAACCATATTAAAACATGCCTAAACTTTATTTTTTACCCAATGACAGACAATATTTACAAACATACTAAACAGATTCCACGAAACAGCACACACCATTTAAGTTAAAGTGTCTATTGGTTAGAAATTAACATCACCCTGTGAGATATTTGGCCAATCAGAAAACTAAAACCCTATTTTTTGCAAGCCTATTTTAAGAAAAATTTCTTATAAAAACCCACAGATTTCAACTTTCAGAGAGCAGAGATGCAACTCTTTCCAAACTATTCAAACACAAGATAAAATGTGGCTACATAGCTTTTTCCTTCCTACCAGTGTGTGCTGGAAGAAGCATCTGTTGGTGACTTCAAACAAGTCATCTCCAGCAACAACAGCAAGGATGGTCAATGAATTCTTACACGCAAGCCACGAATCTGCCACTGGGTGGCATGCCACTAGATAAAATTTTGCTACATAGCTTTTACCCTTCCTACCAGTGTGTGCTGGAAGAACCATCTGTTGGTGACTTCAAACAAGTCATCTCCAGTAACAACAGCAAGGATGGTCAATGAATCCTTACACGCAAACCACTAGCATTTCCTGCTGGTGGCCTCCTGTCAGACCACCGACATGTTCGTCTCAGCAGTGTTACCACTAGCGGACTGCTAGAGGCCCACCAGTGGCTGCCATCAGAGGTCTGCTGGCATTGCCATCGGCGGCCCACCAGCAGGCCACTAGTAACTTGCCTGTAGAGATCCTTGTTGACGATCAAAGTCTTTTCTTAACCATGCCTTTTTCTCTAGACCAAATACTTTAACGCAACTAAAGACATTTTTAATACTTTTTGACTTTTTGAATCATGTTCATATGTTTGTAAATACAATTAATTTATTTAACAGGCATAACCCTGTTTTCCTTATTTTTATTTTGTTATTGTTTTGAATTTGGACGTTCAGTTTTTTTAATATAGAATAACCTGGACAACAGAATTTTCCACTTTAGATTCAAATTATAGCAGAAACATTATTAAAACACATTCTATTAATCAGTCTCAAACAGAATAAAAAAATCCTCTTTTTATTAAAAATTAATAATAATATCATATCCTTACTGAGTGGATATAAACTGAAAATAAAATTTAATTAAGATTTAATTTACAGAGAAAGATACAATTTACACAGCATTTAAAACATTTATCAATCTGCAGTTTCAGCTTTTAAGTATGTATAGTTTTATACCCTTCAAGTAACACACATTGTTATTTTTAATTTAATTTTGTTTAAACGTTATTTGTTCTAATAGAGTCAAGCATTTTTCTATTAAATATTTGCATGCATTTTTGTTTGCTATTACACATGTGCACCATGTATACATAAAAGACAATAATAAAGTAATCAGTTCATATATAGTCCAAGTAGCAGTAAAAGGCTGTGTTGATGTAGTAACAGGAATCATTAAAAAATTTTCCTGCCATCTGAAAACTGTCTTCAAAGATGAAACTGGGCTAAAAAGAAAAAATATGAAAGAATTTTTGTAAAACATCTCAACAATTTCTGGAATCAATAAAAAAAAACTTTGAATTTACATTTTATCTGCTTTCTTGATTTGAATATTTTTACAAAGCGAAAATTTCACCCTCTCAACTTTCCACAGATGTTTACTAAACAAGAGTATCTACAATAATAAGATAGTGTTATAGACAAGCGTATGGTTGCAAGAAAGAAATACAACAGTAGAAATAGATTTACGTGGTTTATTTCAACAGGAACGTGTGGGCTTGGGACAGCTACCTTGTGGTAAAGTTCATAAGCCGGCTTTCGGATCTGGTCGATCTCTCATAGTAGTTCACACATGTTGACGGTGGTTGATGCTCCCCTGCTGCTGCTGATCGCTCGGCCTAACCGTCAGGTCTGTTCAGCGGCCACCTGTTGACATTATTTATTGTACTATGTACAAATGTGGCACAAGGCCGAAAAGGGGGTTGGGGTAAAGGACGGTCATCACTTGTCTTAAATTAAAACTTAGCTAGCCACAACCACTGACCCTATCATACTAAACAATATTCCTTTCACCAAAACAACACATTTATCCATACCTTTCTTACTACATACACCAAAATGCCTCTTTGACTCCATGAAAAACCTAAATAATCCCCTTATGTACAAATATTGTCTGTGGGGGGAGGGGCATAAAAACAACAACTTCTAAAAAGATCCCCAATGAATATATACAAAATGACAAAATATATTTACAAGAAACCAAATAAAATTAGTGTTAGTAATAAAACCCCCCACAAACTTTTGAATGTGGCAGAAATATCAGTTAACCGGACGAAATCGATGCGGGACTTATGAAAATAAAGGCCACACTCATTCATCCCAAGCATTCACACAGGCACACACTCATTCATACACAACAACAAATACGAAAAACACACACACGAAACGAAAGGCGCCCCGCATCTACCAGAGAACTGACATCACTGACCACCTAAAACGAGGGAGGGATGGGAGTTAAACTAAAGGAAAAGAAAATGGGGACAGAAATAAAAGGGGACCAATGAGCAAATACACCCTAGCTAAGTTTACCAGAATAGAAAAACTAAAAAAGAAAAAAATATACAAAAAACTAAACTAACCTAACTCCGGGATGGGTTGCCCATGTTTAACCCAGGAAAACAATATCCTAATGCCTAACCGGCATCCAGATGCCACTCAAGGTCAGCCCCTTTTACTCGGCACATACGCGCAAGATTCACCCACCTTTTGTTGATTTCCGATGAGGTGAGCCGCCGTTTTTTCCGTCCTGATCTTGACTTTAAGCTGATGCTTAAAGAACAAGATCAGTTGGGAAAAAGTGAACTTCTCGCCCTCATGGAATCCCTTCTGACGCGTCGTCCAAATCACGACTCTCATAGCCCCTAGTAAGCAACAGAACACATAGTGTTCAGCCTTCGTCATCTGCGGCACCACATTGCTACAAACAGAACTGGCTTCCAGGACAAAAAACTTTCCCTGCAGCATGCGAACCATGAGGCCGTCAACAAACTTGCACAACAGCACTACCGACTTGCACTGAAAGAAGGCGTGACCAATAGTCTCGACTTCCCCCGCACAGCGACGACAGTTTGGATATTTCTCCAAGCCTGCTGAACAAAGTCTCTTGCCGACCCAGAGGGCTTCACGAATCACCAGCCAGGTGAGTGATGCCTCATCGTTATTGAGGCATTTCAACCCGGGCGCCCAAGGCCATATCGAGCGAGCCTCCTGCTTCGTAAGACCGAGCTCGCCAATCAGATCATCTTGTACGGACCCCCTAACTAAAACTTGATATAATGCCTTGCGAGACAACGCCTGGGCGTTGGAGAGGCCACCGAAGCCCGTAAGAGGAGCTTCAGAGCGCGACGACATTCACGATAAAAAGGGCACTCGGCACGTGGTGTACGGCCGGCCTCTTCTTCGCACGAGTGCACACTTTTCAGGGACGGGAAATGTTTCTGGACGTCTTCTTTCCAAAAGGCACCCTCCTCATTCGACCCACGACACATTCGGTCTAAAAAGGTAATGCGAAGCATATATTGACGAATCTCAATGCTAGGCATCCCCAGACCGCCCTCAGAGGGATGGAGGCAACAGACCTCGCGAGATACCATAGGGGCCTTGCCTCTCCACAAGAAAGAGAACAAGGTCCGGACTAATGACATTAGTCGGGCATACGGGAATGGAAGCACAGAGAGTCGGTAGAGGAGGATCGGATAGATGTGTGGCGGCCACCTGTTGACTGCCTGTTGAACTTCCGTGTGACCCCTTTTATAGCGTTTTTTATGGCTTAACAGGCTTACAAGTAGATGTATTGGACACCAGGCAAAATATCAGTGTTTCAGTGAGTTTCTGAGCTAACGAAGCTTGGTGCCTAGTTAGTAAGCTGATAAATTGATTGATTTCTCTGATGTTTACAAGCTCTTCACACAGACTAATTTATTGGTGTCATGTTTTTAATAGCCATCTCTATGGTTTTACATCAGACTAAGATGGCTATTAAAGGTTGCTGCTTCCTACTAGCAGAAAGAGGCAGTAATTCTAGGTAAAAACTACTGATCTTGAAAGCAGGCTGGCCTTGGGAAAGTGGTGCAATACAATCTTCCAATAGATTACCTACATTCATTTGGCCCTTTTCTTCACAAAGCTAAGATTAATACATTAAGAAATATCAAAAATCAAATATTTTGTTAATTTTATTCATTTTTATCAATTTCTTACTTTCTTGTTTTTAATGCTATATGAAAGCAATTTTCTTGACTTTTTAATATAGTTGATTTATCTCGAGATTTCTTTTTATTAAAGATATTACACCTACTTACAGATTTATTGATTTCATTTTTTTAAATTATGAATTTGGCTTTTAAAATTTTCATTCAAACACCAAGAGAATTTCTACTAGAAGTAGTATTTTCACATTTTTATCGCTTAAAAACTATAACATGAGATTTTTATAACCAATCTGATATTAAGTAGTTTATGAAACTTGTTTTTAAAAATGTTTGCCAATTATGCTAAAGGTAATGAGGAAGCTACGGGCCGGTTTTCTTTCCAACAATGATAATAAAAAAAGCATGTTGTGTTTGCCCAGGGGAGATAACTTTGGAACACAAGCTGAATTTACAATTTTTTTAATTGACGCCAATCTCTTGAAAAAGATTTCATCTAAATGATTATTTTTAAGATGAATCTAAAGATCTGTCATTCCTCTGAGAAAAGTGATTATTTATTCTTTTTAATGTAAAATTTCTATGACATTTCCTTAAGGGGCCTCATGACAACAAAACCCGTGTTGCTTACATAAGCGGCCTTTTTTAGTTGGTCTCCCACAAAGATAAGCATGAGTATTCCAGTCTTTATAGATTTAGCTGTTCCCGAGCAGGTAATGAACATTTTTTTTTAGTTTTTTCCGTTTATTATTTTTGAATAGTTATAATTACAATGTTCCCATGTTCATGTCGTTTACCCGTTTGTGACATGTTTCCACATTGATTCAAACCGCCGGTGTGGTGAGAGTCTCGTGTAGTAGTAACAGCAGCAGCAGCTTTTAATAGTCATTTTAAAATGTCGCATGTATTTCTTGAATATAGTTATGATAATTTATCTTATGATTTGGGAATGAATAATGTCTTGGAATAATTAGCCTCATAATTTTACTCCTTGATTTCTATCACTGATACCGGTATTTTTATTACAAAGAAAAAAAACACATGTGACTGGTTTTCACTCAGTGGCCATTTTGTTAAAAAAGGGATATTTCTTTTTGTTTTTTATGAATTTAGTTCCGTCGACTTTATTTGATGTTTTCGTTCCTTTTTTGTTTTAGAAATCCGAGTTCGACTCTATATCTTCGATCATTCAGCTGCTTCCACCTTCCAAATTTAGTCGCAACAGAGAAAAAAAAAAGCTGGAGTCAACCATTAAACTTTATTTTGCATATTTATTCCAAAATTCATTCTTTGCCATTTTATTTTAGCGAAATCTTCACTTGTAGTTGATTACAAACAAGTCATCGCCTATCTGTATTGCAACTTTGTGGGTACTACTAAAACAGCTGTCCAATATTTACGCTTCTCCTACCTAAGGGCATGAATGCAAAATTAACTGAAACGACTTCTACCAGAATTCGAACTAGGACCGTTAAATCCGATTTCTGTTCCAAACCATTTAACCTGTTCAGTTATTCGAAAAAAAAAACCTCCTTTATTTGTACAGAATTAATTTTATTTACTAAAATGTTTGCTTTTAAAAATATTGACCAACGAAATAATTGCAGGAACAAAAACAAGAGTTTGCTTGACAATCTGTGGGAGTCAACTGTCAACAATGCATAACTATGTTGCTTCATCAATTTCTGGGGCAAGTAAATATAAACAATGGTTTCCCTCTCTCAGGTTCACTATGGAAGAGACTGTGGCTAAGATTATAGTTCAGGGTGAATTAGAATCATGTTTTCCCGCAAAAACATTTTTAGTTCAAAGGTGACGTATCGATCAATCGACAGACCACGTTCAAATTCCTGCCGTCTTTCACTAAAAATGGCTTTTTTTTTTTTTTTTTTTTTTTTTTTTTGTGGAAACCGTGAACCCTTTTCTTCACACACTAGCTATGGAGAAAAGTGTAAACTAAGCTCTTTAGCTTTGCTTTGCTTGAACAATCAGTAAAGAAAGCACAACTCTGAATTCAAAACCGTGAATAAGGAAGAGGGAAGCTGTAGAGAGCCATGATTGTTTACAATCTACAGCATGAAAGGAACCAATCTCTAACCATGGGCACATACATAGAGATAAAGCTAATGCAAATATTGTATGTAATTTATGTATGTATGTAATTTGTAAGAGATTGTTCCACATAACAAATAACCCTTTCTTTATGTAAAACCAAATTATCTGAAATTTTGGCTTGATTGATTATTGCAAATCATAAAGTTGATACAATGGGACACTGAAAAGAGCTTTTTTTTGTTTGTTTTGTTTTATTTTTTCCTTTTTGTTCAATTCATGTATTTTCTTTCATACCCTTAATTTTTTTCTCCTATGTCTATGACATGTTATTTTCATTAGATTATTCAAATTCTTGATTAATTCACTTAATCCATAATCTTTCTCATTAAGATTTTAAATTTATTAACTTGTGCCTATGATGTGAAAAGGGTGTAGAAATTATGGACATAGAAAATGAAATTGACAAGCCATATTCAAATTCTAATTAAGTCTGTTGCATTCTTCTCTTCTCCCTTTGAAAGCAAAGCAGACCAAACTCTAGCCTTGTTTGGTAACTAGGCTAGGAGAATAACTCTCAATTCAAAACAGTAGAGAAGGTAACTGAGAAAACTATTCAACTATGGGTTATAATTTATGGATATTATAAAAGGGAAGTTCTGGATACCGTTTGGTATTAAAGAAAAGCAAAAAAAAAAAACATGCACTTGCAACAACTGAACCCCTCAATCTTATGAATAACTCTTGGAATAATAATGACTCTTCTGAAAATTATTGAGGCTGTCTTTTGCACCCCAAGAGTGTCATAAAGCCAAGCTCCTATGCCAATATTTTAGTACATTTGTCAGTGTGATGAATAAGTTGTAGAATGTTAATCTCTTTATCACTGTTTTTTCTCCAAAAGTAACTCTCTGCATTTGTATACTGCTTTACTGAAAACAACTAAAATAACCTTGTGTACAGTGTGGTGGCCGCATCCTAACTGATGTGGCTTTTGTGTTAGTTGGGTAGTTCAAGTGCCTGCATTCTGGCCATGAGACCTAGTTTCAAATCTCACCATGGTCAACTTTTCAACAAAGGTGACTTGTTATTGGCATGGGGAAATGATCCCCTCATGTGGCACTATTAGAAACTGCCTGAAAACAATACCGTGGGTTGATCCAGAAACTTGTGAGTGAAAATTAGGTATATGAAACAGTTTGGTAACTGTTAATGGTTGTACTAACACAAAGTGAGTCATTATGACCAAAGGTTTGAACGCACTGATCTTGTTCGACTACTGATTGCGCCAGATTATGCACTCCCTTCAGAAACTGTAGCTCTGGTCCACTCATCAGTTGCAATATAAACCACAAGTACGCTCTGTAGTTGTTGAAGAAAAACATGTATGTCTGAGCAAGTCTTGAGACTGACAAATGTCAATTTCCCAGGAAGTACCTTTTCCTCATTCCTTTTTTTTAAGTAACTTCTGTGGCCCACTATTCTTGGATCAGACCAGATTTGGTAAAGATTCCATTTTATAATTGATTAATAAATTTCCCAAATTAAAATTGTGAAATTTTAGACAAGACCATCCTGGAAGTCTTAGCCATATTACAGATTTTATTAACTGGATGAAAGTCTGGTTGCTAACCTGAAGGCATTTGTTTATAAATTTAGGGCACAAAATTGAATTTATTTTACATGTACTTTTTATCTTGGATTGATTTATTATTAAATGAGAATTTTTTTTATTTTAGACTGCTGAGTTACGGGCTCATTTAAAATCACTTGGGGCAGACATCAAAGAAGAAAATCATGGTGACCTGAGGCAGGACTTAAAAGAAATTGTACAATGTTCACCACTTTGTTTCAAAGAATCTGTAGATGCAGGTATGTATTGCTTCTTTTGTTCTTTGTATATAAAAATATGAATTCAATAAACAGTTTTGAAGTGGAAAATATCTGAATATTGTGAAGCATTTATCACTTGAAAATGTTAAGAAGAAAAATTTCAATAATATATTAAAGTAGATGTATTACAGATGACTGATCACAATAATCATCTTATTTAAGGATAACTCCTGAGATTTACGTCAGTGATCAATGCAGGAACCTTTATTGATGTCCACAAACAGTGTTGATAAATGAGTTTAATTAAAAAGAAAATATATAAAGACCTTTCATTCACAAAGAAAGTGGAATGATTCATACTGTATAAGATTTAAAACTAAATTTTAAAATAAAAAATTTAGTTCCATTGTAGGGGGCAGTCTACTGCATTGTCTCTGGGTGAGGAGTCTACTGCACTGTCTCTAATTCGTTTAAGAAACTAAAATATATTGCACATTTACACCTGTTTATTAAAACTCTGTAAATACATTTAAAATACTACAGCTTGTAAATAGTTTATTTACTTTTATTATTTATGGTGTCTTATATTTTCTCAATTCATTCTAGTTTGAATAGGAAAACTCGGCCAAAAAAAAAAAAAAAACTTATGGCCATTTTTATTTGTCTTTCTTCAGAAGTGGAGATGGCCTTCAATGGGATTGTGTCCCTCATTATGTTGGTTCCAGTCAATGAAGCTGACGAAATAATTTCTATTTTTGCTGAAATAGTTTCCAAAGCCCCACCGGGAGACAAAAGGGGTCATCTAAGGCTTCGCTTGTAAGTTTTACAGCATTTATATTCTATTCCTTTCCTGACTAACCCTATTCTTTTTTTTTCTTTTTTTTTTTTTTTTTTTTTTTTTTTTTTTCAAAAAATTGAAATGCTTGATTTTTCCCTAATAAATTCTTAATATTTGTAGGTTGACAAATGTTTTCAATGGTTTAGACGAGAACTGTCCTCTTCGCTATACAATATATTATAGCATGTTGCGCCTTGGCAAACAAGCAGATTTGTTGCAAATGGTACCAACTGACCTCAATAAGGTGAGAATAAGATTTTATTTTTATCATTATTGTCAATAGAACATTGAAGTTTGGGAGAACAAATTTGGTCGAAGAAAAAAAAAATTGTGTAAATTTTATAGCAGTTAAAAAAAATGGATGAATGTGTGTTTTGTGTGCATATATATATATATATATATATATATATATATATATATATATATATATATATATATATATCACATAACTTGCGTTTGGGGTATGATTCAATTTCATGGATTTCCCATTCATCAGGTACTTAAAAAAAAAAAAAAAACAACCATATTGAACAGTTCATAACTTTTAGTGCCTGATGAATGGGAAAAACCATGAAACAGTTGTACTTCAAACATAGGTATATGTGTAATTATTAATATATACTTTATAGCTCTGCTACATTGAGCACTGTCTACACCAAAAATTAAATAGCTATTTGTTCACCTGTATGTGCACATAATCGCACACATATATGGTTGCTGCTATCTCTTTATTTAGCTCATTTCACTATATATATATATATATATATATATATATATATATACACACACACACACTCTCTGTGTCTGAAGTTATTAAGCAAATGTAAATTTCAATAATTCAAATCTGGTTTGAAAAAAAATTGTCAAACTTTAAACAGTCAATTTAGATGTCAAAACAGTCTGAGTTAAAATTTTAGGAAGTATCAATGTTTTGTAGTTATTGAAGTTATTTTGTGTATTCTAAAAAAAAAAAAAACTGCCATCTGAAGTTCTTAGGCAGAACCAAATAATCGCATTTTACTTCAATAAAAAGGCAAAATCATAAATTGATCAGCACCTATAATAGAACAAATAATAAACATATATAAGTCTTTGAATTCTTTACATTTTAATATAGTGACCCTTCTCAATAACAGCCAGTAATCTATTGGGTTTTTTTAATTTCTTTTTTTTTCTTCAGCAGGTTCAATTTCTGACATGGTAGTTTTAATTGCTTCTCGTAGGTTTGTTTTGCTGTTTGTTACCTTCATATAATTTCATCTTCACAATTGACCATAGATCTTAGATTGGATTCAGATCAGGACTTGATGGTGGCCATTCCATTATCTTATTTCCTGTAAATCTTTTATGCTCAAAGAATTCACAGGTAAACTTTAGATACATGAAGTGTGTATTGTGCATAAATACACACTTCACTTTGTAACTGGGATACTGGGTCTTTGTACTATGCAAAGAAAGTCTTGTTCATAAAACCACAATAGTTAGCACAGTTCAGTTTAAGTTCTTGATTGACTGTGAACAGTCCAACACAATGGTTTTGTCAACAATTTCCAGCTTATATCACTATCGCCTCCTTGTTGCCTTATTTTAGCTACAGGCACATCGGAATTGGATAAAATCCATCCTTTGGCCCATCCATCAGGTCCATTAAATGTCACTTGAGATTCGTACATGAAAATTACTTTAGAAAACTCAATTTTCATGTAGATTTGATCCAATTTTGACGCTTTAAAATATTTGCTTTAGTGAGAAGAGGTTGCCTAAGGTTTTTTTTTTTTTTTTTTTTTTTTTTAAGACCTCAACTCACAATGTATTCTACACCTTTTGTCCTTGACTCCCTCAATTCCAGCCTTTTCAAAGATCTGAGTGGTTGCTTTGCTATAACTCTCTTAAGTTACATTCATCTACAGGAAACAAGTTCTTAAGGTCTTTGCTTAGAGTTCTCAACTTATATTTTCAACAGCCTTCTTTGTCATTCAATAATCTCTACAATGCTCCTTTGATATATCCATTGTGGACATCACTCAATAACTTTATTATTTTCTGTTTTTCAGCAGTTGTTAGATCCTTCCCTTTACCCATGTTTCAATATATTATGGACAAAAAGAAAAATATTTTTTTATTAAATTTCAAAGCTAATATTAGTTTAAACTGCATGATAACTTAAGTCAGTCTATTTTCGTAAATTCCAAATATCTCAAAAACTAATCATTAAAAATGGCAGAAAACTTTGTTAAATATTTTACTAAGGGTGGAGTTATTGAGGTCTATTTCCTTTGCATAATAACTATAAAACATAAAAACAAACAGATCACATATATATGATATATATAATTGCCATTCTTTCTGCTTAAAAAGAGAAAGCTATAGAGACTTAATGAATATGTTCTCTCATACATTCAAATAAACATTTGAATCTGACCAGTTGCTCTCATAGCACACTGATCACTTATTACACTAGTTCTCAATTGGAGTCCACACACAAAAAATAGTAAATAAGGGGTTAATTACTCACATATTTTAAAATGGTTTATTTTGAGTTATTTTACTATTGTACATAAATGTTCCATAGGATTTAGTTGTTGAATACAAGTTTATTTTCATTAAATTAGTTTTACTTCAAAATAATGCATATACATTTATTATTTCTATAATACTAAACTTAACTTATCAGTCCATCCTTACAGACTGACCTCAGGATCTGTTGGGTAGAGAAGACAATTGGTAGCCAAATAACAATTTCTTACATTTATGTTCATATTGCAAACACTTCAATGCCAAAATCTTCTCAATGTTCATTTTATTTTAAAATTATTTTCCTTTATAACCCAGATTGATGTTATGCAATTTTTGCACTGTCAGCATAAACACTATTTTATAATTTTGTGTTGGAAAATTTACATTTTCTGTCTTTGGTTCTTCTCTTTGTCTCTTTTTACCAGAGTGCAAATGATTATTTGGTAATCAGTTTAGTAAAGGGGTCCAACTTTCTTTTCACTCTTACCCTTTGATTAACCTTATCTAAGTCATTTTAACGCAATAAAAATGTTTGTTGCTTTTTAGGTAAAAGCTTGGATTGCCATGTGGAATCTCCCTGTACAAAAAACGCAAAATCTTTTACGTATGCTTCACGATGCAGTGTTGGAAGCCAAAATGAGGTAATTCTTCATCATCATAGCATGTCTGCTAGTCTAGGTTGTTTGAAAGTAAATAAAACTTGATTTTTCTGATATCTAACATGTCACGTTGATTGCAAAAATGAGATAGATTTCTTTCTTTTTAACATTACCTTTTAATAATTTAACTTTTCTTTCTTTTTTTTTTTTTTCTTTTTTTTTTGTCGCCACGTTATAATTCTTTATTCTACACACTTTTTGTCTTTCTCGCTATGGAACTGTTCTAGGCTTCTTCCAGGCAATAAAAAAAAAATATTTTTTTCTCATTAAGAAAATGCTGTAAATGGTAATTGAAATATAAAATATCTGACAAATTGAGTAGCTGAGTGGAAATTTCCCAGCCAAACTGTCATGATTTTTACATGATCATCAAACAAATTGTCAAGTATTAATAGCTCGGGGATATTTAAACCATTTAACTAGTTTTTGCTGATTGCTTCTTTCATTTGGTCTTGTTTGAAACAGTTGTTTAGTTCTTCAAAAAAAAAATAAGAGTTAATGAATAGAGTATTCTTCTAACTCCCTACCTCTATAAATGAAAAACACCTGCACTTACTCAAAATCCTTCGTGGTCCTTTTTTTTTTTTTTTGTAAACTCATACACATTTTTCTTTCTCATCTCCTAATTATGAAGAAATGCTACAACTCAAACTTCAATAACCAATCTGATACAACTAATTAACAATATTTTTTGATATTTTGAGTATGTTGGCTATATCTCTCATATAACACTGATTATTCTCAAATGTTTTTTGCATACTAGGTATGACAATCTACAGCTGTGTCCTGGGTAAGACGATAAACTATGCCCAATAGCAAGGCCTCTGATCAGGTTTTGAGGAGCATGGAACCACCTCTTAATTGCTGGTGTTCCCAAGTCCACCCTGAACTGGAATGGTAGCACCTTTTAGTCCCAACTAGGGGTAAATAGTTAACCCCCAAACTGAGGTCAAAACACTATGAAAGTGTAAAAATAAGTTTTAATACCAGAAATACTTTGCAAAAAGTTATTACCAGCAATACATTTTTGAAGAAAAATTGTTACCGGTAATACATTTTGGGGAAAAAAAAAAAAAAAAAAATCAGTGATAAAAATTTTGGCATTAATAACCCCATGGAGGTTGATATGCTGTAAAACAAACTAAACAAAATGTTTTGATTTAATAGTTATAAACATGCCTAGCCAACTGGGACATTGTCTAGCAAGGAATTTCAGTGCAAAATTTCACAAACCATTTTTATCATGTCCAGTCATTCACAGAACCATCTCCATAAACTGCACCAATCTTTTTTGCACAAGTCACATAGGTTTGTGTTTTTGTTTTTTTTTTTTACAGGAGTAATTCTGACAAAATCTTTTAGAAATGCATGTTATAACTTTCACAATTAACAATAAAAGTAAGGCACATTTTGAATAACCTGTCACATGTGTGTATGTAATGTAATGTAATGTAATGTAATGTATGTAATGTAATTATCTATCTATTATTTTGAAATTGTGCTCAACAGCACTTCAGTCACAGATAATGAATCTCTGTCTGCTGTAACACAGCATCCTGAAATTCCTGAGTTATCTCTGGAACCCACTTTTCTGGAAGTGCAAGTTTCTAAATCAAGCAAATATCGTCAGGAAAAGTTCCTGGCAAGGATGCTATCCCTGCTGAAATCTACAAACATAGAGGGCATACGCTTTGTAAGCTATTGCACTATCTGTTCATTCGAATTTGGAGATGTTCCTCAGGATTTCAAAAATGCCTCCGTGCAACACCTATACAAGAAAAAAAAGGTCTTAAAACGGTATGCGATAACCATAGGGGTATCTCACTTTTGTCTGTCTGCGGAAATATTTTGGTGAGTCAACAGAACTGTAAAACACATTGTTGACGCCAACTACCCTGAATCTCGGTGTGGATTCCACTCTGGTCATGGCACTATAGACATGATTTTTGCTCTACATCAAGTTGCATATATAGTCCATGAGTGAAACCAGGAGCTATTTATGGTATTTGTGGACCTTATTAAGGCCTTTTGATACTGTAAATATTTGGTATTCTTGACAATATGTTGAATGTCATTTCATTTCATGTCAGTATGCAGGCTAGTGTTATATTTGATGGTCAGCATTCTGATCCATTTGATGTCACTAATAGAACTAAGCAAGACTGGATCATGACACCTGTTTTGTTTGCACTGTTCTTCTCTGTGATGCTGAGGTATGCTTTTCAGGATACAAAAACTGGCATTAAATTTCATTTTTGAACTAATGGAGGACTGTTTAACCATCAGCGGTTTAAGTCTAAAACACTTCTAAATACCAGTATTATACTTATATCTACTTTAGCAGACAACACTTCCCTTGTAGCTAACTCTTTAGAGAAAGCTCAAGATTTACGCAGCTGGTTTTCTGCAGCATGCAAGGCATTACCATCAGCGTCAAGAAAACTGAAGTTATTCATCAACCTTGCCCAATACTGAAGCAAATTAGAGGTGTAAAAACAGAGGTCCCTTTACAAGTTGGACTCTTTCAAATACCTCAGGAGCATGGTAAATTCAAGTGCATCACTTGACGAGATTGTTAATCACATTGCAAAAGCCAGTGTTTCCTTTGCTTCGCTGCATCATAGGTTGTGGAATGAAAGGGAAATAAAGCTTTACACTAAAATCCACGGTGTATAAAACTATCGTTTTGTCAACTCTTTTATATGGCTCTGAAACTTAGACACTTTATAGATGGCATATGAAACGATTAGATGTCTTCCATAAAGGCTGTCTCCATACAATCTGTGGCCTAACGTTTGATGATCGAGTGTCACATGCCGATCTTTTTGAGAAATGCAAGATTGGTACCATCGAGACCTTCATTATGCAATCACAACTACGTTGGGCTGGCCTTGTGTCAAGGATGAGTGATGATCGCATACCAAAAGTTCTTTTATACACTGAACTCTATAGTGGTCATAGAAATGTTTGTAGGCCTTGGCTTAGGTATAAAGATAAACTGAAAAGCAAGCATTCTTGTGTCAACATTCCATTCAATAACTTTGAAGAGGTACCTATGAAGAGATCAGAGTATCGTTCTCACTGCCATTCAGGAATAATACACCAAGAAGTAAGCATTAGTCGACTACATAAAACGAGAAAGCAAAATAAGACATCTAACAGTGTTCCTACTGCACTTGGATACAATACATTCTCCTGTACTGTTTGTGGTCTTTTGTGCAATTCTCAAGCTGGTCTCAAAAGTCATGCCCGTCATAGGCATGCAGATAATTAGTTTGTGCTTGTTGGAACCTCATACGTCGAGCTCGACAGGAGAGTCCGTCGTGTGTGTATGTATATTCACTTTTGATATACCAGAAACTTACACCACTTAGTGCCGTCTATAGTTTACCGTTCCTTCTATGCAATAAGATTTTAGACCATTCTTTAATTAAAAATTGAATTGCTTCTCTACATTACTACTGTATAAATAGAGGTTACTAATTAAAATTTCTGCTCTCACCTTGAGGGAATAAAACACAAAAGGTTTTCCTCTTGTCGTTTCTTTTTATTGGTATATATAATGACCAGCTACTAGTTTCTGAGTACACTCATATGCTAAGGCACTTAGTCAATTCCTGTTACAGACACCTGCTCAAACGTCACATAAGCCACATGTGGTTTATACTGAGCCAGCCTTAGTTACAGTTTCTGAGAGAGGGTGCATAATCTAGCATGATAACCAGTTTGAACAAAGGCCATTATACTTGTTGCTGGAATAAACCTACGTATCTCTCATCTCAAAAGCTTAATACTGTCAAAGGTTTTTTCAATAAATGTTTTCAGACTTCTTTTCCTTTTTTTTTTCAGTGAGGCTGCCACAAAAGTGATGATAGAATTACTTGGAACTTATACAGAGGATAATGCTTCTCAGGCCCGAGAAGATGCCCACAGGTTGGTAGATTTTAAATTCTTTTTACTTTGATAATTTTTCAGCTGAAATGAATGATTAGAAAAAATATCTAAAACTGAGACTTGGTAATTTGAGAAATTTGCTTTCATCATGTGATGGAGTTGTCCTATTTTCAGCCTCTCTCTGTGCAAATATAGTTTCATTTAAACACACTAGATTTTCTAATTCACAATTCCTTTATAACGGTCAATTCACTGGACTGATATTTATTAGTGCATGTGATGACTTAATGCTGCTTTGAGGCAGGATCTGGTTGATAATGGGAGACAAAACTTGTAAGTTAAGTGAGTGATCTTTGATATATTGAGAACAAGAATGTGGGAAAATTATGGAATTTAAACTGATAAAATGAGATGAATGGGTGCCCTGAGAGGATTGGAACCTGGGACAACTTAACCAAAAAAACAGACACTCCTGCAAAGAGATTGAATTGATGACAGCTTTGTGTTCTCAAAATTTCTCCTGGGATCGTTTTGAAAAAACATATCTAGGTTAATCCTTTTCTACAAAAATTGTTATTTCATTACTATAGTGATTACCTACATTTTGATCTGATCTGGGCTGTCATTAGGTGGATGGTTATTGCAAACTAGGGATTAGTAAACCTCTATGAAATGACTGGATTCTTAATAAAACTAGCAGTCAAATTCCATGCCAAGCTCCCGATAAACACACAAAGATCTTTTAGCAATGAGACCTACACAAAAGAGAAGGAACTCCTTTCTATTTGTTTCCCCCCTTGGACTACTATTTGAAGTATAGTATCAATGTAATATTGCTGCCTCAGGTCACCCTTGAGCTACCTAACATTATATACTCATCCATATACATATATCATCATAATAAGCATGTTGATGGGTTTGACAAAAGTGTTTTTGATTTTTTTTTTTTTTTTTTTTTTTTTCTCCCCTCATCTGTAATTTCTATTTAACCCTCTAGAACCCGGAGAAGAGTTATCACGGTTCCACAGTGGAATTCAATTCTACTGCAAGATACTCAACATTTTCGAAAAGTCCTACTACTGGGTGGCACCATCACAAAAGTGATTCTACTGTAGGAAACATACAAGAATATAGTGATGGTACCCAACTCCTCATGATGAGGGTCCATGAACCATTATAGTGGTATGTTGGGTTGCTGTAGACTAAGACAGAATGGTGGTGGTATAACTTTGCTTTATGCGGATGAGAAATAAATTTGTTATAAAGTGTTAACTCACAATAGAAATGTTTTTACAGAGAAATGAGTTTTCTAATTTTCTGTTTTGTGAATTTGAATTTTAAGGCTTCTGCATCAATAACCATAGTTGATAAAATTTTAAGTTTTTTACCAAACCTTTTCTTCCCTCACATCCTTTGCAGATGCATTGTTACTTGCTTAGCAGATCCAGGCACTTTTCTCATGGACCATCTCCTAACACTGAAACCTGTTAAATTTTTGGAAGGAGAACTTATCCATGATGTAAGTTTTCTTTTTTTATTGTCAGATTCTATTGTTGCTTGTATCAAGATGTCTACCATACCGTTTTTGTCACAATGTCTTAATAGGCTAAGAGGAAAAATGTCTCCAAAATTTTATCTATTTCTCTAAACTTCTCAAAAAAAAAATTTTTATTTTTTCAGTTGCTGACAATATTTGTTACAGAAAAACTTGCAAAATATGAAGCCTTTTATGCAAAAAATGTAGACTTTATTAACTCTATTGGTAAGTTCAACTAAATACATTTCTATTGACTATTTCTTGGGCCAAGTATTGAGTGAAATTGTGGATCAGTCAATTTCTCTTTATTAATTTTTATTCAAGTCTTGAAACCAGATACAAGTGAATCTTTTTGTATTATCATTGTAATTAATAATTGTAATTTAGAGAATATACTTTCAAAATGTTGATATGCACAACCTTAAGGATCACAAGTTTCCTGAATCAATTAAACTTTATCACCATTCCCACTTTATGAAATTTTTTTTTTTTAGCTAACAGATCTACAAGAAAGTCAAATTTTTAAAAAAAAAATTTTTTTTTAGGTCTCTCCCATGAAAACAATATTCGAAAAATGAGGCTCTTAACTTTCATGCAAATGTGTGAGAATAAACGAGAACTGGATTTCATTACAATCCAGCAAGAATTGCAACTTGACAGTGAAAAAGTTGAGGAATTTATTATTGAAGGTAACTATTTCTTTTACTCCTCCCACTTTGAGCAAAATTTGAATTCAACTACCTCTGCTACTTTCAATACCTTAGAATCAATGAATATGCTGTCAAATTTTTTAAAATAGGAATTACTTATTGTAAATTGCAAAATATAGAATGAGTCTCCCTCAATTTATTTCTCTTTTAAATCCTCTCTTTCTCAGTCCTTAAGACCAAAGCAGTGCGTGCCAAAATTGACCAGATGCAGAAGAAAGTTCTCATTAGTTCGACCATTCACCGAACATTTGGTCGTTCGCAGTGGCAGACCCTTCGTCAGTGCCTGGTCCAATGGCAGGCCAACTTAGAAGCTGTGGGAAACAACTTACAATCTTTGGTCTTAATGCAAAAATCACCACCTGTACAATAATTGGCTGCCATCTACATCCACAATCCTTATAACAAATGGTAACTGATGATCAAATAAAAAGTCAATCCAACATTTTTATTTCTTTTTTTTTTTTTTTTTTTTTGTTCCTAAATAGCCAAAAAAAAAAAAAAAAAAAAATTCCAAACGGACTTTGTTTTGAAAGAATTAAACTAAAAATGGCATCTTAAGTAATAGTTTTAAAGCACAGAACTCCATAGGAGTCCAAATGAAAATAAATAAAACACAACTTTGAAGAATGAAAGATTTCTTTTAATAGAATAAAGCGAGACTGAAAACCAGATTTTTTTTTTTTTTTCTCAAAGAGTTTCTCCAGTACAAATACAAATCAACCAGTCATTTAGTGCATTTTGTTTATGTAATTAATATATGCCATTTTTGTGTCCAAGATTACAATTTTTCATCTCCCCTCTCCATATGCCAACATTTCTTTTTCCTCTTATCTCCTTTCAGCACAAAAATTTATATAAAATAAAGCAGAAGCCATTCAAGATTCAAATTTTCTAATTGAGATCAGGGATATTTATTATGCACAAATGAAACTCTCTCATTTGGGTTTCACAATTAAACTCTTAAGCAATATGGCAGAACAGTCATTTTATTGCCTTTATTAAGTCATGAAATTATGGTTAGTAATTTAAATGCAAATTCAGTTACTTTAAAAACAATTCTTACAATAGTATTGAGTGGGAGCGGGTTGCTCTTAAGCTTGAGCAACTGTAACAATCTTATTTAAATTTTTGTAATCAACTAAAAGAAAAAAAACTTGAATCCTAAAACAAGTACAGTAAAGAATAGTTAAATCTATTTTCTTATTTTTAATCCTGGGATTCTAAATTGATTTCTACGGTCTTATTGCTCAATTTTTAGCCAAACTTTGGATCGCAGTTGTGATTTAAGACAAACAGATGAAAGACATAAAAAATATTTCAATGTAGTTATTCAATATGAGATGATAGCCTGAAAGTGGCTGATTTGAGCAATAGTTAGGGAGATGTATAGAATGATGGTTGAAAATGTTAGAGATCAGCAGGAAATCTTAGATTTGTAAATTTACATAAAGTTAAAAATGAAAGCTCAATTGCTTTGATTTACTATTTACAATAAATGCTTTGTGAAAGAAAATATTAAAGGATTGTAGTCTGCATTAATATTTACAGGGGTAGCATGAAATTCTTCACATGAACTTGATGTAACAATTTTTTTTGTCTCTTCCTTCTCACACCATTTTCTTTCAGCAGTATTTAACTTGAGAAAAAGTTTTTGGCTGACATCAAGTGAAAATATACAAGTTGTGGGGTAAACTCCTTAGGTCTGGAAAATTTAAAAGTAAACTTTTTTTTAAATAGGGTTTACAGAATAAGTTATGGTCAGATTTTAAATGAATTTTGCAAATTAAGACGTGAATGCATTTCCTACTTAATAATTCTGTTTTAATCAAGCTTCTAAGAACATAGGGATTCTTGGAGAGGAAAAGAAAAAAAAGTTGATTTTACAAGCAAACCAATTCTTCAAAACAGTTACTGTGGAAGAAAGGAAAATGCTTCCATCAAGTGGGAGAGATAACACTCAGTTGTGGAACATATTGACCACTGCCAAATAGAATCCGTTTTTTTAACGCAGACTTACCAATTCTTGAATTTAGTGAGCATTTAACTACCTGCTAAATTAATGGCTTTTTTTTTTTTTTGCTTCAGGTAAATTTCTAAAGAAATTTGTTTTTCTAACTCAATTGCACCTTGCAAGTGTTGTGGAAAATATTTTAAATTCTATTTTAATATTTTCCCCTTCACTGGACCAGTTATTACATTTCATGAAGCATAAAGTCTGGATTTGACACCTAATGCTACAAATTTACTTTGAAAATTTTTTTTTATTTTGGGGAGATGAGTAATTTCCCCATGTCATTTTGAAATTAAAGGAAGAACGGGTTCAGAAATGAGAAAAAGAAATGGTATCAATAGCTTGAAAATAACATTTAAGGATTATTTAAAAAAATTCAATGGGATTTCAAAAACAATATTGTTTTTGAGTATTAAGTCTACAACTTTTAGATCTCAAATCAAAGAGAACTAACTTTAAACCACATCCTAATTTAGGACAATTGTCTGGTTTCTGTGATGCTAATGTCCAAAATCCATAACTGTCATCACAGGTATATTTTTTTTTTTTTTTTTAACCAAATATTTTGAGTTAACCTTTTTTTTTGGGGGGGAAGAAAAAAAAAAAAAGCATTTCTTGATATTCTTACAAATATGAAGGAGATAATTGATGCCAATATTTGGAGCCAAACAGACAATTTGAGGCTCTTTTCCCCTATGTGATACCAGAGATATGCTGAATACATTGTTTGGTCCCTATATAGCTCACTTTATCTGGACAAGGTTTTGTTCATAGAAACCATCTTTATTGTCATGTAATTTTAGCAACATTCAATAAAACTATGCAAAATGCTTTTTTTTTTCTATGGTTTCTTCATTTATGAACATGACCATAAAATTAAATTTTATAAAACATTCATCATCAAAGGCAGTAATGAAAATATTCTTTTATACCAGGATAAAGCTTGGAAGAAAAAAAAAAAAAAAACTACCTTCCAAACTCAAAGAATTACTGTTTGTTTTCTTTTGGGCTTTTATTTTTTTTTTTTTTTTTTTTTTTTTTTCCAGATTTTCACTGAAGAGTTGGGCAGGTCACAAAAACATTTTATATAAAAAGTTGGTTATTCAGTTGAAGTCAACCCATTTAGTTTTTGTTAACATAGAAACCAAGTTTTGAATACTGCTAAAATTAGTAATACTTTATGAAGTCACATTTCAAAGGGGAAATGAAGGAAATTTTGGAATAAATTCAATACAAATTTTTGAAGGAAAAATCTGTAGAAAACCTGGCAGTTGGATAGAGCCAGTTATTTTTAGTCACCTTAAAACTGGTGATCCTGTAACAGTGAAGAGAGTGGGTTTTGTAAACAAATGCAGACATGCAGGATTCTCCTGTGACCATGTAAAGAAAGTGTTGGAGGAGTGACAAAAAACAAACAACAAAAAATTAAATACTGACAGTGGAAAGGAGATCAGAAGCTAAAATGTTACCATTTCTACTGAAAAATTAAATTTGTCAATGAAAAAAAATTCAGGTTAGAATTTTGATGGGTGGGGTCTCAATTTTTCAATACATCTGTTGCAATGATTTGTACTTTAATATTTAAATAAAATTAAATCGTAAAATGTTGAAAGGGGAAAGTTTGAGGAAAGTCTCTCACATGTACACACAAACTTAATAGTGGACGGACAGTCACTCACTGGGAATAAAATTTTATCCTCTTGATAAGCTCCGATAATTGCTAGAATCAGCTGTGCTGTTAAATGAAAAAAAAAATGAACACCTTTTCAAGGTGATTATATAAACACACAAGAGCTATTCCTAGAATCCTTGGTGCCATATGTTTATTTATAGGAATTTGCACAAAGATTCTCAACAACTGTTTGTGTTACAAAAAAGGTAAGACAAACAACTTGCAAGAAAAAAAAAAAAAAAAAAAAAAAAAAAAAAAAATGGTGGCAGGGGTACTATTGACTTATATACAGTTTAAGGTATTGTTTTTTTGTGTCTTGATAGAAACACACATGTACAAATGTATTTTAGTTTATCGGTGAAGAGAGGAAAAACTGTACAGTTGACCAAGCCATGACTGCTATAACCAAGTATCATTGACATTCATTCATCTAGAATAAAAACCACTTCAAACCCCAATGACCAGAAAGCAGTGAGGGTTGAGGGAAAGATTTGTTCACTAGAAGAATGGTGGGTGGTATCAGAAATTAAGTTTGCTGCATTTAGAATTGGTCATTCTTTTTTTTTTTTTTTTACTATTGAATTTTTGTGCGGATTGTGCAAAATTAGCAGACTATATGAACAATGCTCATTTTTATTACATAATTGAAGAGAGTAAAACAACACGAGGAAAGTTAAAAGATTTACTTTAATTTTGTTATCAAAAACAAAATATGTGTATGGAACATCTGCAAGCATTTCAATTTCATAATCAAAATGAAGTATTGAAACTGAATGCAATTAAAATTTTGAAGATATTCACCAGGCAAAAAGTATTTCTAAAAGCAAAAGAGGTTTCCATTTTTTTGATGCCAAGAGTTTCCAGTATAGATTTTTGGGGGTTAAAGAGAAGAGAAAGAATAATAGATTAAAATAAAAAATTATTTGTTTGTTTTCCATTTTTTAAATGAGGAATCTATTTTCCTTAAGCTTAAGGCAGTCACAAGGGTACAAAACAAACAAACAAATAAATGTAGCATCAATATATTTCTTTTGTATAAAACTAAAAACTTTTGCATCACTTTTTTCAGGCCTAGCAAGCTAAACTGTGCAACAATGCTGCAATAACTGTTCAGGGCAGGGCACTTTCAGTCAGGTTTTTAAAAAAAAAAAAAAAAATCTTTTCTTCTATACAATCATACACATGAGGAGGATGAGGAAAAAAAAAAAAAAAAAAAGCAATCACATCTGACTTGTTAAAGCTTATTTAGCCAGGAAAGGCTTTTTTTTCCCCCCTAAATAGAGAGGGAGGGGAAATTTTTTTTTTCTCCTCAAGTGAAACCAAAATGTCCTATACAAATCTTTTATTATTTTTTTTTTTTTTTTTTAATATTGCTTGTGTAAAATTATTTGCTTGTTTTAAAATATACTGTCACAATCAAACAGACAAAATAACTGGGAGGGGCGAGTTAAAACTAAATTTTTTATACTTGTAATATGTAAACAAAAAAAATAAGTGTGTATATATATATATATATATATATATATATATATACACACACACATACATACAGTGTGTGTATGCGTGTAGATGTAGTGAGATTTCCAAACAGCAAAGCAAAAAAAAATTAGTAAGTAATGTCAAAGACATTCAATATCGTTTACTCCATGGATAAAACCAAAGCCAACAAATTTAACCAAAATCTCAA